TAGTCCTGGCACTTGTGGATGTCAGTTGACATGCACTGCCCAGCAAAATAACATTGCAGCGGCACTGTCTGATGGCAATGGCCCTCCTAGCAGGACAATGTGCCGTGCAAAAACTGTTCAGGAATCGCCTGAGGAACATAAGGGTGCTTTCACACCTGCCCTGTTTGGTTTGGTTCAATTGAACTTAAGTCCGTTTGCCACCTAAGTGTGGTTCATTTGGGCAGGTGTGAACACAGCAATCACACTCAGGTTTGCACCAAAACAACCGGACTGAGACCTTCTTGAAGAGGTGGTCTACAAATGAACTCTGGTGCAGTTGGTTTGTGGTCAGAACGTGTTCCGACCTGGATCTGAGCCAACTGCAGTCACATGACACATTGTTTGGGTTAAACATGAGCATGTTACAGTCCTGGAGGATTATTAATGTGCACCTCCTCCTGTACTGCCTTAATATGCACATTCAGCACATCCAATGCATCAAAACATTGTTTTCTAGTTGGAGCCGCTCCTAATGACAGCAATATAGTCCATGATGAGCAGCACTAAAATCAACCTGCGTAGTTGTCCCTCCATTGTGACATTAGAAAGTGTCACATTTATCTTGCAAGTGTACTCTTCTTCAACGTTTTGTTTACTTCCTGGATTTTTCCCACATGGAAATTCTGACCAATCAAGAGCAGCTTTCTCACACAAGGCATTTGATCTGGTCCGCTTGTAAATGCTGCCGTGAGAACGCGAAGAAATTGTAGGCAATTACACGACTTTGACAAAATGAGTCCCTGATTCAGACCAAAGGAGACAACTCTAGGTCTGAAGCACCCTAAGAAAGAGCTCAAAGCGTCGACCTGGCCTCCAAATTTTCCAGATCTGATTGAGCATTTGTGGGACATGCTGGTACCTCAGAGGTCCTGTGTCCATGCATCCACAGGTCAGAGCCAAGGCCGATCCACGGTGAGGAATCTGTCCTGTCGAGGCACAGATACAGGACTCCTTGTGTTGTCCTGAGGTGTCTGGCACCAGGGCGTTGGTGGTGAATCTTTTGAGTCCATTGGGTTGCAAGAGTCGTACTAGGACAAGGCATCTGTTTTTGTTTCTGCAGGGCTCCAAACTGTGACTTTTTAGTCGTATTTCATGACCACTGCGCACCTCTGCAACTTGCAAACATAAATATTATATGAACTACAGAGCTGTTAGTTTGTTTTCAGCTCACAGTGAATAAATCCTCACATTTAAAGGTGCTGCATTAACAGTTTATCTTTCTGTTTACTTCTTACTGTGATGAGTAGTTCACAGCAAAAACAAAAAGTTCAGCCCAAGATGAGCCGCATGCTTCAGAATAAAAGCATCAGTGGTTCTGTTTATTTTATTACAGCAATACTGAAGTATTTTAGTATTCTACAGTAGTTTAGAGGAGATTGCAAAATATTTGTGTATTGCAATATAGCCTAAAAATACCGCAGTATTATTTATAGGCCATATCACCCAGGCCTACCAGGGCTGAAGGTTTCTCAGCAGAACACTGCATTATAAAGAGATGATCAGTGTTACTCACTTCCCCTGCAGATGGTTGTAGTGTAGTGGCTGATCAGTGTTTCTAAATAAAAACTAACCACGAGGACGAGGAGATTCAAGTTCGAGGAGTGGAGCAAAAGTGACTTCTGAGTCTATGATCAATCCACAATGACACATTCGCACCATATACCCGTCCGTCTACAGCTCATAGGACTTCTATACTGCCATGCTATATATAAACATGGGGCTTCCCACACAATGCCAGCAGAGCTGAAACAGAAACACACATATGGACTGGCAGCTTTACTCGACCATACTGTGATCCAAAAACTCCCCGTGCATCTGCATCCCACAGGGCCTACGTGTTGCCACATTACATTTAGGACCAGAGTTTAATGTGTGAGCCACAGGCCCAGCAGCACATGAGGTGACCTACATTTGAGCCGGGCCTTATAGAGACATCATGCGATGACTCACACACACACAAAGAAGAATGGGATTAAACGCCCAGAGTACATGGCATTAGTAGAGATGCGATTAAGTCACAGTTGACCTGAAACTTTAATGAAGAGGAATAATGATATTAAGCTTCACGTCCTGAAAACTATAATCAATACGTCTCAACATAAAGCTGCTCCACTCTGAAGCCACGAACAAGGACGACTAAGAGTTAAATGTGCACTGTCATCACGATGGAAACCACCAGAGATGTTCAGGTCTCTAATGTACTTAAGGAACAGCTTGCATAATGTTGATGTAATTCAGTTACAGCTGACCTGGTGAAGATGTAATGTAATTGAAAGAGGATAAGTAGGAGTGATTGATTATTGGTTTTAACCTTACTGTTTTTCTTCTACACAGAGTTTCATCAGGATTCACATACCGTGCAGAGGGGAACAAGAACAGCCTTTGACATCAGACGATGACGGGCTCACAGAGACTTCAGCCCCTCTGAGGATCTGCAGGTAAGACTTCAGTGAAATTAGTCTCATTCTGGCAACCTAGAGGCAGTCAGTATCTCTTTAGATGTTAAATGCTCCACTGCGTTCACCAGCTGTCTGTCTTGCTGCGACCCCTTTCACATTGTCACAAGCTGCTTAAACAGCACTTAAAGGCACTGTATGTAAGACTGTGGCCAAAACGGTTACTGCACTCAAATTCAAAATACTGCCGGGAGTCGTGTCCGCCCCCCCTCCCCTACAGATTCAAGGTTGCTGCTCTGTGCTGAATTGCTGCGTTGTGCTCCGGCGTCTGGCAAAAATAGAAGTCCTGCATATCTGTTGCGGAGGGCTCCGGAGTGCTGCAGCCAGTGGAAACACACACATTGACTAGAATTGAATCCTCTCGGCTCCACTGCTGTGCCGGAGCACAGACGCAACCAACACGCATCTGGTGGAAATTGGGGGTGATTTGTTTGCCCACGGACGGCTACCGTGGCAGGGCTGCGTCGCCGCGTCCTTGATCTTCTGTTTTCCAGCGGACCATTCGAGCAAGTCCGGCTTCTCTGCTGCTAACGCTGCTGCTGGGATACAGCAGAGGAGGAGCCGGCTGCTAATGCTTTGTACCGGGACACTGCTAATGCTGCTTGCCGTGCTGCTAACGTTTGTTTCTCAAAAAAATCAGTCAGGTCAATGACCCACCTGCACATGGGCTACAATGAATGATCGAAAATGAAACAGTTGAAAGTATTTGAAATGTCCATCCCCGTCTAGCTATGATGCCAGTTTATATACTGTGACCTGATGACCCCAAAGACGTGTTAGTTATCACTGCTCACTGGTCTGTATAGTTAAGCCTTGCCATAATAGCTTACGCTTAGCTTCTGTGGTCAGTGTAGCACCTTCAGCTTAGTACTCGCCCCACGTCAGTGCCCCATGTATTTATTTTGGTTGTTAGAAGATGGAAATTATAAAGATCTATCCTGCTGAGCATCAGCATGTTTGTCACTGTGAGCATGTTTGGTTACTCTGGTATTAAGGTATAACTTAACCCACCTGTGCCCAAACACTGTATTTAATATATGGTAATGTAATATGCCACATCTGTTGTGATTAGTCTAAATTCTTGAGATCTGGTACAGACATATTTTGGGCAAGTATCCAACAGTACGTCTTTGTGCTGAGGCAGGTGGGTACAAATGGGTTAAACTGGCATCTCTCAATTAGTTAAATATAAACTTTGATTCTCGCTGCTACAGTGATGGCTGCTCGAGCAAAAATGTATAATTATTTTATCACAACATCCGACACTCCACCAGGTGTTGGAGAAATGACCAGTTTTGAATAGTGACGTTAGTCTACAAGGCAGAATGAAAATCATCATCAGTGTCTGAGTTCTGCTGCGTGCTGCAACACCCCAAGGCACCACTTTAATTATAATTTGATTTACTGACCCAACAAATATCCCCCCAGGATTTGGAATCAAGTCTTTCTCTCACCATTAGTTTCATTGCCAATTGTCAAATGGCAAAAATCCCAGATCCAACTTACTGCCAAAGTCCTAAGTGTTCTTGGCTCCGAGCTGCGCTTTCCACCAAACTCAATGCATATCTGTTCAGATGTTTTACAGATAGCCCTCTGGCACACAGACAGGGAAACCATCTAATGATGTCTCTCTCTCTCTCTCTCTGTTAGAGCCACAAAAGGTAGACTGAAGCCAACTGTAAATGTTGGTCTCCCCCTGCTGGTGTCAGGCTACTGTTTCTATTGTTATTTGTATGACACAGTCACTCAGCTCAGTGTGACCAGAAACTAGGTCGTCTAGATCACAACCTGTCTGAGCGTGACTCACCTAAAGCAGAGGTGTGAAGGCAAAGTTATGAGTCCAGGGCAACACAAGCAGAATAACATTTTTAAAAGACATGATAGGCCAAGAAAAGACAACCATGTTAAAAAATATAAATAGATTTTAGGTTGATTAATTCAAAGATGTGACAGGTGTTTTACAAAATACCAGCATGAAATGATATTAAATGTAAATTCACTTTGCATATGTGCGTAACGAGCCACACACACTGGTGGTAGAAAGACGCATCAATAACAAGCTCGACTCAGATTACCAAAATCTTTTTTATTGAAGTAATAATAATGTACAATATAAAAATTGATTACAAACAGACAAATAAAAAAAGACGACATGATATTAACAAGAAATAAGACCTGGTTGTCGTTGATACAGAGATGCACATTATCGAACAGTGTGTTGACAGACGCCCATTAACTTGATTCACGACAGTTTTTGCCTGAGATTATTCACTTTGAGGTACCTTTTTAAAGGCCACGTCTACATGTATAGATATTTTTCACCTCCGTTTTGAAATACAACCTCTGTCCACCTGACCTTTTTGTTTTACAAAATGTCTCCGTACACACTAGAATGCAAAAACAACTCCAAACGTTCACCGCTTACCGCAGTCTCCCCTCATCACAAAGGTAGTAAAGCGTACAGGTTAATGTTACCTTTTTCCAAAACACATACCGGAGATCTCACATCACTTTTTATTTCCGTTCAATCAAAGATACAAGTGATGCTCTGTACATGCCAAAGTTTTCCTTCCAAGTGTCCCACCATCTGCTAGTTCGACCAGCCCTGATCCAAAACTGTCATTTCTGTCAGCCTTTAAACCGCGGATACTGAGGTGGACCAATTTAACTGGGCGTTGCAGACTCCTCCATTCGTCTGTGAAGTGGTGTGAAAACGCCAAGTGTAAATATCAAGTAGTGATTAGACCAAGCAGTGCGACCAAAATGTGAACAAACTGATGGTCCGCTGTTGTGTTCAGCTCATGCTCATTACATCATCATTTTCCAAGTCCACACGGATACAAAGAGTTTTAGTGACCTTAAAAACTGTTTGCATGTGGACAAGATGTAGAGGAAAATATCTATGTGTGTAGACAGGGCCCATATAAATCAGTACCTCTGAATTCTGCCAGTGTTCATTATGTGCATTTCTGAGACAACAGCCAGGATTTTCCTCTTTGTGACACAGTGAGATTTTGGAAATTGATTACAAGATTCCCACACAAGAAACACAATCAGATTTCCACAGCTCTGGTTTATAAAAGTGTTGTTTTAATCCTTACTTCGACCAAAATCCACCTCAAAGAGAACAAAAAAAAAAAAAACTCAAAAGGCAAAATATTAACATCTATGATGTGTTTATGTTCCAGAGTCCACTGTCATGTTTGTAACTGTGGGTTTTTGTTTACCCAGGCCACCTACATAGGTGTGTGTGCGTGCTGTGAGGAGGAGGAGGGGGAGGCAGCAGCGGAGGACGATGACAGCGAGGAGGCAGGGGGCTGAGGAGTGGAGGAGGACGAGGCAGAGGACGTGGAGGCGGCGGCTGCTGCTGCAGCTGATGATGAAGTCTCTACCTTGCTGCTGTGAGTGATGAAGCGCAGTCTCAGCATCATGGCTGGACGCAGAGTCATGATGATTTTCTCCACCTACAGACAGACAGAGAGAGGGGTAACATTAGGAACACGTGTAAACTGATAGAAAGGCAGCGATACTTAACATTGATCATCTTGTTACAGTGAAGTGTTCTGTTGGGAAACCTTGGATCCCAAAAAATACATTTGGAAAAACTCGAACAGCAATGTCTCTATCTAGAAATCATGACCTGGTTACTCGAGATAATCCAAAGACCTTGTTGTGAGCTGTTTCATTTCTCTTTCTGCCTATCAAACTACACCTGCTAACCATATCAGTGAACAAAAGGACACGTGCATCTTCTCATGGACAAGATGTAAACATTAATTACGTTCGCGAAAGAAAATAGTTCCTCGGGGTGTCTTTGGGTATTAACAAATTAAATGTAGGACTTTTTAAAGATCACTTTACCTGTAATTTAACACCAAACTTCATTGGAAATATACTCCAAGTAAAATAAGTAATGTCAGTTAAAAACGAACAGCCAGATTAATTAACACTAATGATGCTCTCTGTAAGCACAGGAAAAATAAACTAATAAGCAGGCTGGCTACCATGATCTAAATGCGTAGAGAGGTTGAAAATAGTGTTTCCCTCCAGGTAAAATGTTGCGGTTACATGACTAAAAAGAACATGTAAGACCCATCCAATCAGAATATAATACTTTAAGGCCTTTTTTGAATGTATATTTAAGACATTTCAAGGACATGCGCCCACCCTGTTCCTATGTGAAACTGCTCACAACAAGGTCTGTGGATTATCTTGAGTAACCAGGTCATGGTTTCTGAAAAGAGACACTGATGTTGAGTGCCATCTAGTTTTATTGTTTTTGAGAGAAGGCAGACATCTCTACAGCTGATATCTCCAACACTCAGCAACTCACACCAAAACAATCTAGACTGATAAATGTGTGTTTGATTTTGGGATGAACTGTCCCTTTAAAACTGCTCTCAGTATTCAGTGGCAGCTTCTTCTATTAACTTAATTACTTGTAAAGTCAATTCAAGTACACTTGTCTGAGCCTGGAGCACAAATAGAAGTACAGTTTCATCTCCTCTAATTAACTCTGGTGTCAGGTCTGGACACTGGCGGGGAGCTGTCTTGCTGTTCAGGAGGTGACAGATTCAAGCTATAAATGGAAAATAAAAACGCCAAACTGTCTTCTGAGCAGCTGCGAGTTCACAGATGTCATCTTAGTTAAAGGCTCGGCGACAAAGACCTCCATTTTTAGTTTTTCTGTCAGTTTGTTATTGTCTGCTGTTGTTTAAAAAAAGCTTTTAAATGCTGTACGGTCAGATTTATGGTTAATTTTCTGTTTTAATAAAAGACTCTTACCTGCTCCTTCACGCTGTCTCCTGTGTACATGTATTTGATGTGATAGAGGAAGTCACAGATGGGGTCCATGTAGCTGAGATGTTGGCAGCTTTGGTCCACCGCCTGGAGCATCTCATAGAAGGCCACACCAATCTGAAACACACAAATACATGCCAAGTCTGAAACCCTCTCACAGGTGAAGACTAGAGATGTTGCGGATTCACTAGTTTCAAGATTATTTCCTATTCTGCTCCTGGTGGAAAATATTACACCAAACTCCCTTTAGGAAATATGACAAATCAACAATTCCTTATGTGTCCAGAAAGCAAATAACTCTAGAAACAGTAGATCAGAGACGTCATGTTGACAGTGTTCTTATCAATTCAGCATCAATATAATCTATAAAGATAAAACTGTCTTCGTGTATAATCTCTACATTTTGGATTTTGTCTCCTCAATTTGTTACCAGCCTCTCTTGGTTTGCTGCACTATTTTAGTGGGAGGTGACCATGGGAATTAGAGGCTAACAGTTTCAAAAATTAAGTGCTAGTCAGTCACTCTGCAGCTCCACCAGTTTCTCCTCCTTTTCCTCAGTACAAGAGAACCGACACTTGTTCACATCCATAGAGCCCCCTCCATGTTCACAGTCTACTCTTGAGCAGCTAACTTAACAAGAACAGTAACCAAAAATGTCTGCAAACTGGGGAGACAATGAGGTCCAGGAGCTCCTTACCCTCCGAGCAGAAGATGAGATCAACCTCCATATAACGGGCGGTAAATGATTGTAAACGATAGTAATTATTGTTTAAAAATCGCTGCCCTACGCGTACGTTACACGTCACACCTCTTTGGCTTCAGGAAGGCCAGTGTGCTATCTAAAATCACACTGGGATGTCGTTATGGTTGCATAGTTTTGTTCTGTATAAAAACAAAGCCAGCAAACTAAAGGAACTCGTTGTGGCCCTGACGTGGGATCTGTGTGTGTGTGTGTGTGTGTGTGTGAAGGGCTAATGTTCAAGTCAATGAACTTAACTATTTGCATAAGCCAAGAGCAAAACTTACAATAATATTAGACATGTCTGATTTTATCTGCGACAGTTAATTGATTGAAAAGTTGTTTGGTGTAAGGAAAGCATTAAACTTTAGTTAAAGGGCCAGTGTGTAAAATGGGTTGAAAAAAGTGACATCAGTGGTAAAATTCTAGATTGCAGGGCTCACTCGCTCACCCCTCCCGTCGGGTAAATGACGGTGGCCTCGTAGGGACAAAAAGCCTTGCGCAGACACGAGTTTTTCAGGAGTAGGTCTATCTAGTGACAAGGTGAATGTTTATTTAGAAATCTAAACCATGTTACGATATTGTAATGAATCACTCACGAGCAGGAGACCAGAGTAGCGTTCGGGAAAAAGGCCCGTTTATTTGAGCACTCCAAAAACTCCGGTAACACTCCAGGGGGTAAAAGACTCCGTCCCAAACTCTGACTCTTCTAGCGTAACACACACACTCCATACACACATTCTCGTTTACAATACCAAACGGATACCCCCTCTCCTCTCTGCTCCACCATTCTCCAGCCCGCACACTGACTGACAGCGTAGCCTGTAAACAGAGCTCAGCTGTTTATTTAGCCTAGCAATATCTCCGGACTATAGTAGCTGCAATGGACGACTTTGAACGCGATTTTGAAGAGTTTCTTGTAGCGGACACAGACCTAGAGCCATACCTGTTTGAGCC